TTTAAATAAAGTATATGTATACATACTTGTAGTATATTTTGTCATATAATTCTGCTAGATTTTTAACTTTTCTGTGCAATACATTTAGAATTCTGACTGGTTATGGGTAGATAGAGAGCAATGGGGTAAAACATCCAATAGACATAAACTGTCCTTTGGGACTAAGTGATTCAATTCAAGTTGAATAATTCATCCGCACCAGGAATATTTAGTAGTAGGAGGACCCAGAGAAAACCCATGTTCAAGTTGGGTGTGGAAACAAACCACTTGACTCAATGACAGACCTTATGATCTAAAGCGCACACGTTGGACCACTCAACTTTTAGCCTCATCCACGGGTCAGGGAAATTTGATTATTGGTTGAATGTACTTCCCATTTACTGCCGCAGATAATGAATAATTTTGAAGGTTTTAATGCTCATCAAATTTGACATTAGAATTGCATCCGTAAATGATGTTAATTTAATGTTAGATTTACGTTATAATGGTCGGTTAGATATCCATCATTTTGCTCATCCTTTTAACGACAATTTAACGTCAGGAAATGACGTTAATCTAGCGTAAAGTTTACGTCATTTTTACGTTATATTTACATCATTTTCTGACGTAAATCTAACGTAAAGTTTACGTCATTTTCTGACGTAAATCTAACGAAAATGACGTAAACTTTACGCAAATTTTACGTTAGATTTACGTCAGAAAATGACGTAAAGTTTACGTTAGATTTACGTCAGAAAATGACGTAAATATAACGTAAAAATGACGTAAAGTTTACATTAGATTAACGTCATTTCCTGACGTAAAATTATCGTTAAAAAGATGAGCAAAATGATGGTAAACTGACTGACCATTTTTACGTAAATGTAACGTAAAATTAACATCATATTGTTATGTGGGCATTGGTTAATATTTTCGCGGTCTGTCGTCTGCTACGATTATGTAAACAAAAGGTGACAAGTACTTGAAGTAATCAAAGGTAAACAAAAGGTGACAGGTAATCAAACGCTGACCTAATTAATTTAATTCTGATTTGATATTTGTTTATTTGGTGCAATGTCTATTTTCTGTCTTGTCCGCAGGTTTATCTTGTAGATTTTTCATTTGCGTGTAGTGCGGTCCTCCTGCACTTATTATTAAAGATTTCCCAAAAGAAAATAAATTAAAGGTGCCGTAAGTTTAATTTGATTTTGTTTAAAAATGTGTGAAATAATTATAAATGGTAAAACATTCACCATTCAGGATGTTCCTGGTGATGGAAGCTGTTTTTTCCACTGTCTCAGTATGTCTCAGGATTTTGGAACTTATAATTCTGATGCCCTGAGAGCCAAAATTTGTCAATTTGTCAGTAGAAACTGGGACAACTGGAAAAATCCAGTAACCATGCCATAGGCCATGTGTATGAAATGTCATATAAACAATATTGGAATGTAATGGTTTCTGGTAAGGGATGGGTATGGTGGCTGGTTGGTATCATGTAATGTCGTGATGTCGCCTTTCATAACGCGACAACCCGACATCACGACATTTCTACCCGACAACACGACATCACGACATTTCTACCCGACATCACGACATTTTTACCCGACATTACGACACTAAAAATGTCGTGATGTCGGGTAAAAATGTCGTTATGTCGTATCATGTCGTAATGTCGTCTTTCATAACGCGACAACCCGACATCACAACATTTCTACCCGACAACACGACATCACGACATTTCTACCCGACATCACGACATTTTTACCCGACATTACGACACTAAAAATGTCGTGATGTCGGGTAAAAATGTCGTGGTGTCGGGTTGTCGTGATGTCGGGTTGTCGACTTTCATGATCAATGTTATAAGCGGCCACGATGATATTCATAACAAAAAACTGGCAATTAAGAAAATGGTTGATCAAGTGGAAGTAGATTCACACTCACAGTGCAGTTTGAGTTGCATTCGTATCCATTTGTATACGTCCACATTCATAATGTGAACCGTCTTCATTAGCTCAGTCGGAGCAGAACAATAGGACGTTAAACCCCATTTCATTTCATAATGTGAACATATTATGAAGCCGCCCTTGTCTATGTGTCTGTCATTGAGTCAAGTGGTGTGGTTTCCAGCCCAAGCTTGTACATGACAAAGAGTAGGGTAGTCTGTCTAACCTCGTGGGTTTTCTCCGGGTCCTCCGGTTTCCTCCCACTGCTGAAGACCCCTACGCGCAAGCGAATTATTGAAATAAAATTGAACCATATGTTAGTCCCGAAATGACCTAGTTTGTGTCGAGTGGACGTTAAACCTCAACTCTCTCTCTCTCTCTCTCTCTCTCTCTCTGTGCGTGTGTGTGTTTGTGTGAGTCTGTGCATCGCCTACAGGTCACAATTCTAACGGATCGTCTTGAAAGTTTGCGCACTTATTCCTTTTACCCTAAGGATGATCCCTATTGTTGTGTGTATCGCCTGCAGACCGCAATTCTAAATGGATCATCTTGGAACTTGGCATACTTATTCCTTATACCTAATTACGGCACCTATTGATTTTGGTGCATGCCCGAGCCCGACCACCGGAGGCGGTGTCACGCTTATATCTTTGTTAATATTTGTGTCTGTAAATTCTCTACAGGTCACAATTATTAACAGATTTGGTTCCAATTCGGCAAGATCAATCATTTCAGTCGCCTTTCATAACGCGACAACCCGACAACACGACAACCCGACACCACGACATTTTTACCCGACATCACGACATTTTTACCCGACATCACGATATTTTTAGTGTCGTAATGTCGGGTAAAAATGTCGTGATGTCGGGTTGTCGTGTTGTCGGGTAGAAATGTCCTGATGTCGGGTTGTCGCGTTATGAAAGGTGACATCACGACATTACGACATGATACCAATCAGCCACCATAGATGGGCCACATTTTCCGAAATAAAAGCTGCAGCCCATGTTCTAAATATCAAGGTAATAGTCAATCAAGGATATATAACGATTAGAATTTTTATAGACATTATTCTAGTTGTCGCCGGTGACAAGTAGATTTTATTTCTACTTGATATTTGAAAATGTTACCGTACTTGGATTCGATAAATACAGTAGACAAGCGTTATTTTGACCCCCGATATTGATATTGGCTATTTAGAGAAGTACTTAAAAATCCCTTTTTAAATAATTTCCTTATATGGCATCTTCCCTTATATTGATAATAGTAATCAATAGGATGGTGTCTTTCTACTACATAGAAAAATCATGCATACATCTCAGTACATTTACATGCATGTGCCAACACATTAATCAATTATAATATACAGTAGAATCTGTATTAAGCAGCCACCAAAGGAAATTGTCACGACTGACCGCTTAACGAGAGTAGCCTCTTAATAAAATCTCAGTGGTTTTTTTTTTTGTGCTGACATCAATTAAATATTACGCTTTGATGCATTAGGCGAACATCAATACTTGCATCGGTAATTAGTCCCGAAATGACCTAGTTTGTGTCGATTGGACTTTAAACCCCATTTCTCTCTCTCTGCATCGGTAAATTTGGCCGTCGCTAAAACTTGCTTGGAACGAAAATTCTTTGATTCAAATCTCTGACATAACTTCTGTAAACGTGTCATTTTGAATCAACAACGATACTTATAGTCTACCATTGTGAATATTTATCCATTTTTTGTGAAGAAAATCCATGAATTAATTTTATTTTATCAAAAAAGCACATGAACAAAAAACCATCGCTGAATTTGTCACCTATTGTCAGGGGGTGTAACTCTGCATGTTATATTATAGGGGGCGCTAAAACGTCTGTTTAGAAACAAAGTAGCAATGGAAAAGAGATACTAGATGATCGTGATAAAACTCATCGGTACTTTTAGTTTATTCAATCAGTATCTAATAATGTTTCATTACGCTTGAAAACAACGAGCGGGTTGGTCGTTTAATAAAACAAAAGATTACTTAACAGATAATCCCGGGTTTATTGTTTTTTTTACATATTTTGCAAGTTTTCCACAAATTAACTCAGTTTTTCAAGCGAGAATTTCATATTTTTTAATAAAGACAAAACATAATTATTTCTATATCTTTTACTCAATAGGTTGTCAACTCACTATTATACGATCATAGGTATCATTCTCAAACTTCAAAAACCATTCACACCGGAAATAATAATAGCTATCTTCAAACGTTTGAATTTGAAGTTGAAAATGATATTTTTGCCAATTTCTGAACTGGCAATAGTGAATTATAGGATCAACAGGATTATTCTTTAACAAAGTAGGACTGTTTATAGATACCATCTATTTTAAGGCTTTATTTTTATACATTTTAAAAATATAACTTAAAAATATGAAATTCTGGCTTGAAAAATATATATTTGAAGTATTATTATGATTGTTTTCCACAAGAATGAGGTAGTATATGGACCTAAGTTATAAAGGAAGGTAAGGAAGGTCCATGCCCATGGTATTTTGGTAGGCATGTTTGTGGTAGTATTGGGTAAATTGTACTGCCCTGCTAGGCTAAAGATAATGGGCGCAGTACGTTGATCCGGCTACTCTGGAATTCGCCGTGGTTAGGGTTAGGGTTTAAGGGTTTGGGTTAGAATCTTGTTAGGGTAAGGGTAGGGGTTAGTGTTAGAATCTTGTGAAATCGTGTGGAAGTCAAAAGTAGCCGGGTCAACGTACTAGGCCAGATAATGCCTATACTATTGACAAATTCCAAATTAGAAGTATATGAATCCACCCAATCTAAATTACTTGGTTCCTTTTTGACATCGTGTTCAAAATTTGGAATTTTCGTTCCAATAGCGAGTTTCAGTGTCTGCCAAATTTACTGATGCATCCAAGGCCGGGATAAATTTTTTTATTGAAATTAGTACTAATAAACACTGTCGATGCTTTTTGTCTGACCTCGCCATTGTGGCAACGATCTCATGGCATTACGACTTTATATTTTTATGTTTTATTATTTATTTGGATACAAACGTAAAAGTTAATATTTAATAATAATAGATGTCTTGCCATGGTCTATATACATCAACCAATATAATTCTTTGACAGGATCTTCAAAGGCATACTGGTTCCGTTGTACCAGAATAGTTGATACCTGGTTGGATAAAATATATTTAGATAAAGAGCTGGTCGTCCCAGTTATAATAGTTCAAACATAGACAATGAAAAATGAGTATATAATGCAAATTTTAGTCAAAGTATTGTATTCTGAGCGAAGTTATTGATGTTTGACATTTTTACAAGATAGCCTCGATTCTCGAGTTCCATTGCTATAATAATGAACAAAGTCTCGATTAGATAAGTTTCTTTATATTTTAAATGGCGAGAGGGTTCTTATCCATCCGATGGAAAAAAGGTGATTATGGGCTTGTCATGTGAAGAAATATCTAAATAATAATTCATATAATAATTCATATAACATTTGGAGCCACAAAAAGACATGGGCAGACATGCATCTTTAATTATTAGCGGCCTATTGCTGGTTAATGTGCAATAAAATCGATCGAAATACGAGATAAATATTACCCTACTCGAGGGCTGATATGTGAAATAACGTAAGGTCGAGGGCCGTGGGTTATTTCACATATTGTCCGAGGGTATAAGGGTAATATTTGACTTGCATACAGACATCAATGTTAAGCCCGGCCCATACCGCTACGACTAAACACAAGCCGACAGGACTCAGCGTCTTGGGTAGTTGTAAAAAAAAATCGGGTCGCGTCTTTACTTCACTTGCCTACGACGGCACCAGTCCACACAGGTCCGACTCTCACAGATTATGCGTCGTGAGTTACGCCACTTCCCTCTAGCGAGTGATTCCAAAAGTAAACCGGAAGCATAAAAGTGACATTATATTTTGCCAAGATGCCGCTGAAGTTGACTCTGATTGGCTAAACAACAGTAAGACAATTGATCGTGTCGTTTGAGTGTCCACACAAACACGATGGGTTACGACTGCATCCAACTGCATCCGACTACGACTGAACATGCTTAGTCGGGCCGACGGGACACGACGCGACGGAAATCGATTGAATCGTGGTCGTGGGACTGTCCACACTGCACTTATTATCTGAGACAAGACGTTGCGTTGGGTAGAGTCTGGGCAAGTCGTGGCGATGTGGGCCGGACTTTAAATCTATCCTAATTGATTTCACCTATAAGTCAATGGTTTAGCCTATCTCGGCCCTACGACTGATATGACAAAATAAAGCCCGGCCCATACCGCTACGACTACACACAAGCCGACAGGACGCAGCGTCTTGGGTAGTTGTAAAAAAAAAATCGGGTCGCGCCTTTACTTCACTTGCCTACGACGGTACCAGTCCACACAGGCCCGACTCTCACAGATTATGCGTCGTGAGTTACGCCACTAAATGCTACTCTCTGATTGGCTAAACACCAGTAAGACAATTGATCGTGTCGTGTGAGTGTCCACACAAACACGATAAGTTACGACAGCAACCAACTGCATCCGACTACGATTGAACATGTTCAATCGGGCCGACGGGCCACGACGCGACGGAAATCGATTGAATCGTGGTCGTGGGACTGTCCATACTGCACTGATTATCTGAGACAAGACGTTGCGTTGGGTAGAGTCTGGGCAAGTCGTGGCGGTATGGGCCGGGCTTTAAGAAAACAAGTCGTAAGTTCCACGTGCATTACATTTTAGTAACCGCGTGTTCACAAATTGGCATTTTGTGCAATATCGTCAAACGATTTTGACGACGAACTGATCCGAGCAAGTCAGTTTGTAGAACATTTATGGTTGAAAAATAAAACGTAAATTCTCACAAAGAATTATTTAAAGCTAGTCAAAGTGCAGAATTTTGACAGAAAATATTTAACAAGGATTTAATGTACTCAGATATTTCGGATTGTGAGGGAGATACTATTGTATGGTGCCTCACCATAAATAAATACCTCCAAATATCTCGATAATTACACAATATATATATATATATATATATATATATATATATATACACCAAGCCTTAAATCAGTTTCGCACATTTATAGTCACGAAATAAACGGCCATGTTGTACTATATAAGCTATCACTATTTAAAAATCGATAGATACTAGACTGAAAAATGGTTGAGTGTCGACCATAACATCCGGACACTTCAGTAAACCAGCGGCTGCCAGGCAGGATACGCCCACATTTTGCAAGAGATGGATAGAGAACAAGCTAAAAACAAAAAGGATTTTTTGTACAATCTGGGGCAATAATCCACAAAGTGATGGTCTGAAATGCCCAAATATCAAAAGGGACTGAGATCTTTGGGATATAAAGATATGTTTTAAGTTTCATCAAACTCGGATACAAATTGTGACATCTAGAGGGTCCACAACCATCGTAGCATACTTTTACACAATTTGCGTACAAAGTGCGGCCATTTTGTCGGGCAGTTTCATTTCGATTTTCACGAAATTCGAATTCAACCTTCATTACAGTGTAACGGTGATATATTCGAACGTTTTTTTAAATCGAATAATAATTGTGACCTCTGGAGGGACCACAAGCTAAAAACACAATTTTTTTTACATTCAATGGCCATAATTCAGGAAGATATAATCCGATACGCACGAATATCGAAAGGAACCAAGATCTTTGGTTTATAAACTTGCATTTCATGTTTCATCAAAATCAGATCAAAATTGTTGCCTCTAGAGGATCCACAACACTGATATACAATATTTTGACACTGTTTGCGAACGAGGGGCCGCCATTTTGTCCGTCAGTTTCGGTCCGATTTTTACGAAATTCGAACTCAACCATTTACGGTTTTGTAAATCGGATAAGAATTGTGACCTCTATGGGGCCCACAAGCTAAAAACGCGCTTTTTCGTACAATCAGAGGCCATAATTCAGGAAGTTATGGTCCGATATGCGCGAATATCCAAAGGAACCAAGATCTTTGGGTTATAAACATGCATTTCAAGTTTCATCAAAATCAGATGAAAAATGTGTTCTCTTGAGTGTCCACAAGCTAAAAACGTGATTTTTCGTACAATCAGGGTCCATAATCCATGAAGTTATGGTCCGATATATGCCAATATCGAACGGAACCGAGATCTTTGGATGATCGACCTATATTTTAAGTTTCGTCAAAATCTAATAAAAATTATGACCTGTGGAGTGTCCACAAACAAATTGTGAACGGACGGACGGACAGGGGCGAGAACAATATACGTCCACACGGACATTTTTATTTTTTGTTTTTACCAATTTGCAGTCCATTAAGTGTAAATAATTTATTTAAATCAACCTGTCCATAATATATTTAATGTATTGGAAGTTAAATTTTTAATAAACAACAATATTAGAACACGAGACGCAACAGCGTCGAGTTGTTCTAATGGATAATTTAAGCATGGTTAAATGGACAATACACCACCTCTAAATACGAAACAGGGACGTTTTTATCGATATTTTAGCTGAAATATTTGGGTATTTTCTTCGGAACTATTTAGTAAACATTTTTACACCGGAAAGTGTAAATTCCCCGGAAGAGCCACCATTTTAAAATCTATATCGTCCTACAATTTTTATCCGATTTTCATACTTTTGGAAACCCCACATTATTGGCAATCGATCGACGGAATTAGAATTTTGATATTTAACATAGATTTTGTTTTAAAGTGACGTCAAACAAGGCCCTTTTTTTTTTTTTTTTTACCAATTTTAAGGGAACTTTTGATATACACGGACTTTTTTTTCTGTTTTTACCAAATTTTAACCCATTAAGTGTAAATAATTTAATTAAATCAACCTGTCCGTAATAAATTTAATGTATTGGAAGTTAAATCTTTAATAAACAACATTATTACACGAGACGCGACAGCGTCGAGTTGTTCTAACGGATAATTCAAGCATGGTTAAATGGACAATAAACCACCTCTAAATACGAAACAGGAACGTGTTTATCGATATTGTAGCTGACATATTTAGGGATTTTCTTCGGAACAATTTAGGAAAAAGTTTTACACCCATTTTAAAAAGTCATTATTTGAGCTCAAAATACTCTCAATAGATTTAGACCGTCCTTGCTTTCCTGCAAACTTAAAATGCTTGAGTCTCGAGTTGAAAGAAAATGTTATTCGGATATCGACAAAAAAATATTTTGAGCTCAAAATACTCTCAATAGATTTAGACCGTCCTTGCTTTCCTGCAAACTTAAAATGCTTGAGTCTCGAGTTGAAAGAAAATGTTATTCGGATATCGACAAAAAAATATTTTTAACGTTTGAAGATTTTTAATAGAACAGGAAATTAGTCGTGTATTGAAATAATTCTGGCCTGCAACCCGCGACTAAAAGAGGAGTAACTCTTGGCGACAAAGACGACTTTTTGTAGCTTGTTCTTAATCACACAATTGCAGTTCGTACTTACATCCTCAAAATACCCCGTAATTCTATGACAGTGATGCCCTAGCCTATGGTGGGGGAGATGGCCGAATGGTTAGCACGTGCGCGCTGTATAATTAGGTCTGTCGTTAAGTCAACTGGCGTGGTTTCGATTCCTCGGTTGTACGTGACAAGGAGTAGGGTCACATGTCCTTGTGGGTTTTCTCCGCGTCCCCCGTTTTCTCCCACTGCTAAGGATCCCTACGTGCAAGCGAATTATTGAAATAAAACTGAACCATGTTAGTCCCGAAATGACCTAGTTTGTGTCGAGTGGACGTTAAACCCCATTTCTCTCTCTCTTGTCAACAAATGTCAATTTTGGCATAATGATTAGGGTCTATATTTCAGCTGCTATTTTCGACTCCACAAAATGAAAATAAGTACACTGTAATATACTCTTCAAACAAAGTAGGGGATATTGAAATGCAAATACCTATGCAGGTTGTGATATGATAAATAGTCATAAACACTTGAAATGCTTTGAGAGTATGTTCACAGATAAAGAACTTATCGCCCCAACAGAACCACTGAGCTGCACGTGCGACACTCAATAGCGCCATACGCGTGGGAGGGGTTCATTGTCAAATTTGACACTTTAAGGAAGGGTTGGTGAAAACTGCCGCGTCCTGGTTTATCCTTTCCTATCGGTTCTTGCATAAGATTTACTTTTTAGTGTGGTACTTTTA